CCCGCTGCCCCTGCCTCCCATGGCTGCCTCTCTACATCTCTAGTTGCCTTGGGCCTTGCTTCAGGCCCTGCAGCTTGGGAGCTCACATGGCCAGAGCTTCCCCAGCCCTGCCTGATCCCTTGGGTGGAGCTAAGGGAGCATGGCATACAAAGACAGTTTCAGATCCCTGATCCTGGGGGTATTTCCATACTAACCCCTGAATAGTTTACTGCTGAGTTGAGATTGTACAAACTGTGGCTTCTCAAGCCAAGAATAGTCAAAGCCAAGAATAGCATCCGGGACATGCCATTGCATATTTCAGTACACCTTCAACAACAGGAGCTGCATGAAATGAAATAGAAGCTGGAGTGAGGAAATCGGTCAGCTTTCCAGCTCCTTTACCAATGTGAATAGAGAGGAGCAAATCTGGTATAAATCTGTTGATGGGAGTGGGGAATGTCAGGCAGCCATAGCATGCTACTTTCTCAGACCCCGCACCATGAGGTTAAGGCTTTGAGTGGATATACCAGAATGGGAGGGGATAAAGCCAAAGTGATGGTCAATCTCTGTGTCATGGCCTTCTCTGACAAACTCATTTATGGACCTGCACAATATTTTACACAGAAGATTTTCTCATTGGATTTTTTTTTTTCATTTCCCCAAGAAAATGCCGCTTTGGATTAATTTTATCAATTTTCCAATTGGGAGAATCAGAATAAAAGACCTCAGGGGAAACAACATTTTAAAATGAAATGGCTTTTTCCCTTTCACCAGGTTAAAATGATTTTTTCCTGATCAAAAATGTAGACATTTCCAATGAGAAATGTTTTTGACATTTTTGCGCTGAAACTTTTCAATATTTCAGCTTTCAGTTCCAGTACAGAACAGAAACTACTTTTAACATTTTCCATAGACTAAATCAGGGGCGGGGAACCTTTTTTGGGTCGGGGCTACTGACCCATAGAAAATAAGTCGGGGGCCACACACAAGTGAGAAGCAACTGAAAAGGAGAAAGACACTCCTCACATTCCCTTTGCACACCAGAGCCGGGGGGGAGGGCAGGCTAGTAGATTTTGTGTGCTCCAGCTCCGGAGGCAGTTACAGGGGTCCTGGAGCACCAGCTCAGTCTCTCCAGTGCAGGGGAGAAGCCCTGAGACTTGGAGGCCAGATCCAGGCAAGGCAGGGCCTTAGGTTAGTCCAGGACCTGGACTAAATTCTGGTTTCCAACCACCTGCTCACTTGTATTTCCTTATAAGTCCAGCCATTACACTGAAAACCCCTGAACTTCAAGAGGTGTTCAGGATAGCTTCTTAGATAAGTCATGGAAGCACAACTCCAGAAGACTCCTGTTGCCATTGGGCAAAAGAAGCAAGAAAGCAACATCTGTGATGTATTAGCAGGAGTTTTGTAAGCAAGCCATGAGAAGTAATTCTTCTGTTCTACTCCATGCTGATAAGTCCTCAGCTGGATTATTGTGTCCGGTTCTGGGCATCACATTTCAGGAGAGATGTGGACAAATTGGAAAAAGTACAGAGAAGAGCAACAAAAATGATTAAAGGCTAGAAAACATGACCTATGAGCAAAGATTGAAGGAACTGGTTTTGTTTAGTCTGGAAAATAGAAGACTGAAAGAGGACATGATAACAGTTTTCAAGTACCTAAAAGGTTGTCACAAGTAGGAGGAAGAAAAATTATTCTCCTTCACCTCTGGGGATAGGACAGGAAGCAATGGATTTAACTTGTAGCATGGGAGCTTTAGGTTGGACATTAGGAAAAACTTCCTGTCAGGGTGGTTAAGCAGTAGAATAAATTGCCTAGGGAGGTTGTAAAATCTCCATCATTGGAGATTTTTAGGAGCAAATTCGACAAACACCAGTCAGGTATGGTCTATAGATGATGCTTGATTCTGCCATGAGTGCAAAGGCCTGGACGTAATGACCTCTCCAGGTTCCTTCCTGTCCTATGATTCTATGATTACCAGCAATATAATATGATGGGAAGTGGTGTATGAAGGAGAACAAGGATGAAAGAGTGGTTAGTCTACTAGCCTGGTATTTGGGAGACTTAGATTTAATATTTTTGTCCAGTATGGAGTTCCTGGATGACAGTATGAAAGTCATTTAGGCTCTCTGTGCTTCCTGTTCCCAACAGTAAAGGGGAGATACTATGGCTTCTGTGAAGATACATATATTAATGATGGTGGTGCACTCAGATAAAAAGTGGCCATACAAGTGATGGAAGTATTTTTGACAAAAGAGTCTTTATTGCATTCCTGGCTACACCATATTCATGCATAACGTTTTCTAGCCAGGACCTAACTCAGCAAATCATCCTCATGAAAGAGCTCTTATTCAACCTGCTGGGTAATATAGACACCCAAGAAACTTTCATATCTCTCAGGGTACATCTACACTAGCCCCCTAGATCGATCTAGGAAGGCTAATGAGGGCAACCGGAAATGCAAATCAAGCCTGGGATTTAAATATCCCGTGCTTGATTTTCATGTTCCCGGCCAGTTGCCATTTTAGAAATTGACTAGCCTGAAGTAACTGCCCGTGTCAACATGCGGCAGTGAAATTGGCTTCCGATTTAAAGCCCTAACTCGAATAAGCTGGTATTCCTCCTGCAATGAGGTTTAACAATTAATTTGCGCTGAACCTCCTTCTTGGCCTCCCGCCCCATGTGCAATGTCCGGTATTTTCTGAAGTGCAGAGCAGCAACCAGTCCTCCTCTCCCCCAGGAGTCCTTTATATAGCCCCCAGCTGGGCCCTCATTAGCCAGAACTGCCTCAGCTGGGGCTTTGCTCTCAGCCCTCACTCAGGCCTGGGGTTTTACCCTTAAAGGGCCAGCACAGGGCAAATGCCCTGTGTCTCACCCTCCTCACGTATCTCCCACAGCGGGCAGGGTACCCTAACGGCCCAATATTTGCCTTACCTGGGCCCATGGGGTGTCTCTCCTTCTGCAGGTTCTCCACCCCATGGAGCAGCCTACTCCCCTCTTCAAGGGTCTGGGTCCCCACAGTGGTCCTCTCCACCCTAGCAAGGGTCTGGCACCTCTGCAGGCAACATCCAGAATCAAAATGGCATCCTCTGTGCAGCATGACCTCGCAGCTACAAGGACACGATTATCGTTTTAAAGAGCAGGATGGTGTCCTCAGCACAGCATGATCATGGCAGGTACTGTACATGTGACATCATGCCACATGAAGGGTACCATTTGGTATGAGGATAGATGCAAGTGGTGGCCAGATAAAGCCAGCCATCGCCATGCTATTTGTTAGTTGTAGTCTGGCAGCACATAGCAGCCCAGATCATAGACCAAAACCCCATTGTGCTAGGTGCTGTACACGCGCATGGATCTGGGCACCTTTCAAATATGCATGGCTCCATCCTCACAACACATCTTCTGCAATAGGTGTTATTGTTTACAGAAATGACTTGTCAACAGTCACAAGGATAGGAACAGGTATTGACTGCTCCTTTCCACAGACACACGCAGCAGTAATGAGCTGCGTCTGAATTATGGAGAAATTGGGACATTGCCATCTGCAGTCTTAGTAAAATGTGTGGCTAAATAGCAGTTCTTATACATGAACTAGATTAGGTGAGTGATGTTCAGCTGGAATGGAAACACCAGGAAGAAGAAAGACCTTACATGGGTTCATGTTACAAGTTTCTGGTTTCAAAACCAACTCAAGGAAGGGAGAATTGCTATTGTTTACCAGGCTTTCCTTTTTATTTGCCTTTATTTGGTTACTAGTCCTTTTGTCAGCAAAACTTTGCAATGAAATCAGAGTTTTGGCCACTTGAGGATTGATTTAAATCTGCCTGACTTTCTCCTCTGAATTTTG